ACGGGTTAAAACTAAAAAACTAAAAACTAAACTTAACGTTAACGTTCTTCTAGTAGTTCGGTTCGTAGGTCGACGTAGTAGTACGTACTATACGTACTAATATATATATATATATAGTTTTTTTTTTTTTTTTTTGAGGGGACAGTTAGTAGACAACGTATTTTTAGTTATCAATGGGAAATTAATAATAATCATCATACAAACAATAATGAGTGGAGTGCCTTTTATTTTTCATGTTATCAAATTTACACTGTTACTTTGATTAACTTATCGGGTTCCAATAAAGACAAATATTTTAAACATGTTTAATGAAATATTGACAAATGAATTTGGGATTATTAAAACACTATACGAAGAGTATTTTGGGAGCGTTCCCACCCGTGGTCTATGGCATGACGCCACTGATTCAATGTCATTATTGCTTGTGTAAGTTAACGAGAAATCATTTGATATAACTTGTCTGTCCATGAAATCTAAGAAAAATATTGTTCTTGTGTCAGACATCACTTAAACTTTGTTTGTATATGTGCAACTTTCCACATACTAATTTTGTTCAATCAACATCACATTCAGATTAAAGAAGTAAAGTTGAAGTATTATTAACAAAAAGTTAATAGTATTTTTAAAGAGTGAAAAATCTTTGATCTCTTTGGTCGTGTCTTATTATACCTTCCAACGAAAATCGTTCCACTGTAACGGTATTAAAGCAAAAGCTATCATCATGACTTTGCTTAATAATATTAATAATATATATATACATATATATATATATTCGGTTCAAAATGTATTTGACTAAAGTAATGTGAGTTTGTATTTCTAGAATAAATCAAATATTTATTGACAACTTAAAGATCTACCAGACGCAGCACAAACTATGTATGCTACGCTATATCAAACGACTAAAACAAAAATAGTTTTTCTCAACTTCAAATTCAAATTATACAAAAAATCTTATTACTGTTGGTAATTGTACCACTTCATGCAACCATTTTACATCAACAACAGCTTCACCACAATTCAGTTGTCAATAATCAACAGAGACATCAATTCACAATTCTTTATTAATTACCATCTATAGTTGGTTCTTTCAACTAATTCGCATATATGTACTTTGAAATTCAAGACTTTTCATTAAATGCCCCCCTCATGGGTCAGCGATAAGTCTATGACTTACGACGCTAAAATCCTGTGTTTCTTTTCCCGAGTGAACAGATCGCAGATAGCCCATCGTGTGGCTATGAGCTAAAACAAGTAAACAAAAAAAATTCCTTAAATTAAAAATTATTTAGGACAAACATGGATTAAAATTACTGTTCAGTTACTTTCAAAATATTTTAGCAACTACACTTTAGACTAATCAATCCCCTCTATCAGCATTGTGCCCTTCATGCCCTCCTAAGTAAACGAATAATAAGCTTTCCACATTACCCATCATCTGCTCTGCCTGCTAGCCAAGTTTTTCAAACGACCTTTAACTCATTATTTCCTATTTTAATCATAAGTAGTAAAAGTTTTTCATCGACCTTTGAACCAAGACATCTTTCACCACACACATTCTAAATAACTTTACCTCGGGTAAGAATATCATTATTGTCTAAGAAATGAAGTTTCTATTACGTTTGATATTATTTTCCATCAATGCTCTTGGGCAAGGTACAATAGACTTTTTAAGCCACAAAATTAACTGAAGTACAAGCAGAATATAAACTACAAAGCATTCTAGTTCGTTGTGGTTGAATACTCAAGCATAACTTTAAAACGAAAATTTTTTACTGTTCTTTCAAACACACTAAAACGACATTCCAAAACACTTTACCTATACAATGAAAATTATTTTTAATCAATAAAATATACTCCATTATTTGAGCTCTGTGCCTTTTAAAGAAGCTTTATTTCACAATTTAGTCGTTTTTATAAGAAAATGTTGTAGTTGTTTAATTTTTTCTTCTTTAAAACCAAACAGAAAACAGCTAATTGTATATTGAGTTTACAGAAAGTTGAAAATTAATGATTGAGCATCATATTTTTGAGCCTACATATTTCAGTGCTTAATACCACCGAAGTATTCTATTACAAGCTCCATAGATGAAGATTGAGTAAGGAGATGATTCATTTTATCTAAATCGTTTAGTTAAAAATATTTCATTCTAGTAAGATTTTGAATTCAAGATAGAGTTTCATTCGCACCGAATAAATACAAATCTATTATCTGGAAAAGTTGGTTTTTAAAATTTCTTTAATATCACTTGCTAGACGTTTTCTAAAATTTGTTTTATCATTTGATCAAACATCTCTTCTGAAATACTATACCCTCAATATTAAACGACTGATTCAGTATCCTTTAAGTTACCAACAGAAACACGATACAATTAAGAAAAAAGTTATAAATACAAAGGAGACTTGAAAATTTGTAGGAGACTGTCATCTAGCCGAAATTTTGATTTTCTAAAGAAATACTCTCAAAGAGCTGATGGTCACGCTATGTAAACAAACATTATCTGGCTACTGACTAATGTGGATCACTTTTAATCATGACTTACATACGAATTATAACTTTTAAATATACAAACTCAAAGAGCTGATGGTTTCTGAACAAACATTTTCTACACACTGCCTGATATGGTTTATTCCTAATCAATATTTAGTTACCAATTCAAACTTCTTAATAAACACTGTCAAACAGCTGATTGTCGGTTTTGCGAACAAACATTTTCTACACACTGCCTGATATGGTTTATTCCTAATCAATATTTAGTTACCAATTCAAACTTCTTAATAAACACTGTCAAACAACTGATTGTCGGTTTTGCGAACAAACATTTTCTAGACACTGACTGATATGGTGGTCGAACTTCTAATCATTATTTAGTTACCAATTCAAACTTCTTAATAAACACTGTCAAACTGTTGATTGTCGGTTTTACGAACAAACATTTTCTAGACACTGACTGATATGGCTAACTTCTAATCATGACGTACTTAAGAATTCAAACATTTAAATTAACAGTTTTTATTCACACATCGTTGGACTATTTAAATAAATGTTATATGAGAGGTGAAGATTTTATAGTCTAAATAAATATTTTTATTCCGTTGGTGAGGTTACCTTTTAAAGAAGCTTTTTCCGTACAACCGAAAGGTCAAGTTCTTCAAACGTTCTTCATTGGCCTAACAGTTCACTACTGACTAGAGACCTACCCACAAGTAATGGTGAAAGAGTAACAGATACAGAATGCACCTCCTTCTCTACTTCAGTTTAAACAAGATCATTGTTGGAACAATTGTTGTGTTCTATTCTCTAAGTTCATAAAACCAAGTGGTCATTTTACAAGCATTATAGTTTTGTTATGTGAAGAATAATACAATACACACTGTGTAAAAAAAAAATATATAGTTTTACAGAATTCGGTCTATATTTGGAGTGGTGCAAATCTTGTTTGATAAACAATATAATCAGTGTACTCTTTGGCTCCGGTCATATCTCATAATCCATGTTAATGTTGGCGTAGTGGCTGAACGTTTTCGGTTTAACATTATTAGACCGGTAGGAATTATAGTCTATGATCTAGGTTCATGTTTCACTTACACAATATGTTACCTTGCATAGCTCCTCCTTCATCGGCTATAGAGAATAACTAAATGTTAGTGAGGATGATAATAAAGGATTGTTCGATTGTGTACCTCATCTTGATCAACATCAGCTAGCCTAGGATGACGAAAATATAAGTGGTTTAGTCACACGTAACACTCAAAGGCAGTTCAACTTAAAACCAATAAACATAATGTTCATCCGAGTGGTCACATAACACAAATATAGAGAGTTATTCCGATGATACACCCCTGACGCCGCGCTACTCTAAGCTGTCAGCCGATGGGCCCACCCCGTACGCTGAGGCTTCTACTCCCGTCCGCCCCTCCACAGCTGCCGCGGCCCCGGGGCAGTGAGTGGCGACAGCACGGCGCCGCTTGCCACCGTCCGTCCCTCTTCCTGAAGGTAAGGTAGGTTGAGATCAGGAATGAGGGGTGTAAAATGTCATATAATTCCCCTTTTTTATGTCAATCATAACGAGTCATAATGCACAGTGTGTTCTTGTTTTGAGAGTGCTCATTTAACGACGTAGAAACAATAACTGTACTACAGTTGAACCGAGTAAGCCACCTGGGGTAATATCTGAAACTGGTTTCTTACCTTGCATCTCTTGCTTCTGGTATTCGCAATATTTAGTTTTAAATTTCTTTAGTAAAACTGAGACAAAAATGAAAACAAGAACAGCTCGTCAGGAGGGCTGAAAAACCCTTGGTTTTAAACTCACAAGTTACAGTAGAAAGACAATTGTGTATTAAAGACACTGCTAAGTTGTTGCATAATTATCATATTTATGTAATTCTTTAATACTGAGATCATATGTTTGTAGATACGCACATGCAGACATAAATGTTTGAATGTTTTCGATAAACAGATACAGTCCGGAGCACAACCATTATAATTTCTGGCCAACCTACCGATACAGTCCAGAGCACGACCATTATAATTAATGTCTGCCCAAATTATCGATACAGCCCGAAGCACAATCGTTATAATTTTTGTCCAATATACTGTATATATATATATATATATTTTAGTTCGAGCACGGTCGTTATAATGCCCCCCCCCCAAACTAGCTAATAGACCTTAGAATAATATGGACACAAATGATATAACGTTTGCCCAACCTACAAATACTTTCTACGTTCAGCTGTTGTAATGTTCCCTCTCGTTTCAACACAGTCTGGAGACAAGCGTTATAATCTTTTCTTTGCCGAACGTATAGATACAGTCTGGAGAGAGCCATTATAAGGTCTGCCCAACCTATAAATGCTTTCTAGAATGAACTGCTATAATGTTTGCCCAACATTTTTTGAAAGTCTGGAGACAACCGTTGTAACGGTTGGCCGATTTTTTTCATACAGTCGAAATGCAATCTGGAGCCAACCGTTTTAATGCTTACTTTATCCGATTTCTATAGATACAGTATGAAGAGAACTGTTATAATGTTTGCCCGATACAGTCTGGAGACAACTGTTATTGTGTTTGGTCAACATTTTTATACAATCATGGAGACAAACGTTATAATATTTGCACGAACTTTCGATAGAGTCTGGAGACAACTGTTATTGTATTTGGTCAACATTTTGATACAGTCATGGAGACAAACGTTATAATATTTGCCCGACCTTTCGATACAGTCTGGAGACAACTGTTATTGTGTTTGGTCAACATTTTGATACAGTCATGGAGACAAACGTTATAATGTTTGCCCGACCTTTCGATACAGTCTGGAGACAACTGTTATCGTGTTTGGTCAACATTTTGATACAGTCATGGAGACAAACGTTATAATGTTTGCACGAACTTTCGATAGAGTCTGGAAGTGACCGTTATAATGATTGGTTTGTTCAGCCTATAGGTACTGTTTAAAGATAGTCATTATAATGTTTGCCCAACCTATTTTGCAGGCTTTAGAATAACCTAGAAACATACGTTATAATTTATGCCTAGCCTATCTAATATACATAAGATAATTTACCATAATTATTTTTCTTATTATTATTTCTCTGTGAAAATCAAATTCGAACCAGATTCAAAACCACGACTTTGGTTATCGTGTGGATGTCTTAACCGGCTTAATTGTTTATTAAGTACAGAATATGGCAATATTCTTGAGCAGTTTGGATTTTAAAACTTAAAACTCGGTTATTTCATCTCCAACATTAATAAAATGTACAAGCTGTAGCACTGAATACAAAATATTTATTTACTACGGATCTAGCATACATGCAATGTAATTCTTTTTATTTGGAACTCAAGCATTATTTCATAATACAGTAGTGCAAGAATATAAGATCCGTCATAAACGCTTTTAACTATACCCGAAACCGAATACATGTAAATTATTTACAACATAGCAAGTACACATGCACATTTCTGCCTGTACACATAGACGAAGGTTGAACGTATACATTTACTATTTACTTATAATATTCAATACATTTTATATTATTTATAATAAAGCAAGTACACAAGCATATTTAAAGAGATTCAATTTCTGCCTGCATATATAGACAAAGGTTGAATGTATACATTTGCTATTTACTGAAAATGTTTTCATTTGTGTTCTTCTTTATGGTTTTCATTAAATAATTCAATTTAATTCCACTTTAAATAATCAAGCGTTTTATTTAGTTTTTAATGAAACTTTGTGTAATTTCATTTTCTATCCCTCCGCAAAATGCGTGGTTAAAGCGACATGAAAACACAACTTTGAGCTTCAATTACGAAATTGCAAACATAAATGCTTAGAAATTTCAATTTAAAGTTTTATATGGAAATTAGAAGAGCTTCGGTGATGTTCAGCCCTTGCACGCAACGGTTTATTGTTGCTATTTCATAGCTGTCATCTGGTTTCTGTAGAGACATTTGTCTTAATAAGTAGAATTCAATTAGAATTCTCTTGCTTAGCCGATGGAACATAGAACTCTACGATCGGCTCGTTGGAGCAGAAGGTTTGCTGAGACGGGGAAATAATCAGAGAAAACGAACGAATTATGCACGCAGCCCAGTAATTAGCGAAGAGAGAAACTGAAATGAAACCCAAATTGTTACATGTGTAAACAGTTCAGCAGTGATTTTCGTAGCTCGCCTTAACGGACTATATAACGTTAAATGGCCTAATGAGACGTCGTAATAATTACTTTTCTAGGTATTTTCTTTTACATTTAATGTTATAATGTATTTTTGTGAGAAGAATGCTCCTAGCTTAACCATATTAGGTTATTAGACTTACGTTATCATTTAAAACAAATTTCTCAATTCATAAACACACTTCCTGTATATATAAAAATTTTATATATTTCATAACATAACATAATGTCATACTTTGAGTCGGTATGAAACAAGAAATAATTCAAACAGTTACTACAAAATCTAACAGTGAATGTATACATGCAAACTAGCTATGAATATATGAAGATGTATGTACTTGTAATATATTGTTCAGTACAATACGGAAATAACTCATTAATTTTAAACAGTTCTAACTCTTTGAAGTATTTTATTGTTGAATGCAAGCGTATGCGATAAACGATTCATATGACAACTTTATAAAAAAACAGAAAGTGAGTTGATGTGTACAACAGTGAAATACAATGAGCTTTGAAAAAACAACAATATAATAAGTTATGCACAACGCCCAAAGATTGAATTTGAAACAAAAACACTGCATGTAGGAAGATGTGCAAGACGCTAAAAAATATTAATGTTGAAACAAAACAAAACAATATAGAAATATATATACAAAGCATGTTTGTTTGTTGTTGGGTACAAAGTAACACAATGGCCACCACGGGTATCGAAACCCAATTTTTAGCATTATAAGCCTCCAGACGTACCACTGAGCCGCTGGGGAGCCACAACGTTCGAGTTGTTTGAAAAAACAGAGTTGTTGGTCACAAACCCAATAATATCTTCCGGGGCTCATCAGGTTTATGATATTTAGATTATTCCTACATACATATGTTAAAATAACAATCAAAAACAATCTTTATAATAAAAGTATGAGAATAAAAATTCAAATGAAAACTAATAATATTGAATAAATTAAATATTATACCCAATACCTTTAAAGAAATGAATATTAAAGAAATAATAGAGTGTATCTTACTTACGGAACAATCAAACACTTGTCTTTAGCTTCAGTTACTGTCGTACATTTAATTAATAATGAATGATGAATAATTGGAAATCATTGTAAAATTGTGTGAACTAAGATCCCCTGTATTAGAAACGTATGAGGAATACCTGAAGAGCATTGTACTATTGCGGAAATTAATGTCCACTCTGTTAATTATGTATGATAAATACTGGTAAGGTAACATTGTTTAAGCTAAATCATTTATTGAAGAAAATTGTAGGATTCTGTAAACTAAGATTCACTGCTCGATAAATACTTGTAGGGCATTATGATATTCTAGAGACTAAAATATTCGAAAATAGCCACTATTGTTTCTTGTTTTGTGGTGTTTTTCGTTTTAGCCAAATGTACATATATTCTTGTAAGCGCAGAAAAAATACTTTTACATCTGTTTTTTTTTATTAACTCTGCTATTTGTTTAAAGAGGGCGTTACCTCGTTTAGAGTCATATACCTGGAAAAAAATTAATATTTTCATCAATCATTTGAAATTTTAAAAAATTATCGACATTGTGTTAAACAAAACATATAACCAGTTTGATTCTAACAAAATTTGTCTACACGATGTACACACAGTAATGAAAGAACAAAACGATTTTCAGTAGTTATGCTGTATTATGAAAAACAGATATGTTAATTTAAGCATAAAAAGTATCCAACCATGACATTGCATTATGTTAAAATATAAGAGATGAAATATAAGACAAATCGCACATTAAACAGTGACCAAGATCTATTATAACACAAAATGAATGCTTGCATGCCAATGTTATGACAGGCAACCGTAATTGTGACTGATGAAATAGGTTAGATAAAAGAAGTTAATCATTATTATCAGCTTTTAATA